ACTCGCAGGCGTCGAGGGAGCGCAGGCGGATGGACGGCCACTGCGCGCTGGTCACGTAGGAGCAGTCGGCATTGAAGTCACCCAGGAGGAGGATGTTCTGTGGGGCAGCACGCTGTCTCCCTGCCCAGGGACCTCACGGGGTGGCAAGAAACGCCCCTGGGGCAAGGTGGCATGGGGGAAACCCCCCCAGTAATGACAGCAGAGCTGTCAGCAGCTCCCTGCCCGGACATTGCTGGTGGGCACTCACTCCGATGGGTCTCCCGTGGGACACACCCAACCCAGGACGGCCGCTGGGCTGTGCGATGGCCATACCCCAGCCCACCCGGCTGCCCTGGGGAGGAGCCGAGCTCCCTGCTGCCGCTTACGTTAGTTGCCCACTTGTCGACAACGTCAGTGTAGACGTCGTAGAGTGCGTCGATCTCGTCCGCCGCGCTGCTGGGCTTGGCATGCAGGGGCACCATCACAAACTCCTTCACCTCTGCTGGACAGGTGGCTGTCAGCCCCCAGCTTGGGTGCAGCACCAAAGGGAAGGGAGTGACAACCCCAAGGGACTACCCCGGGCCAAGCCCCAGCTACCAGCAGGAAAATGCTGCTGAAGGAAAAGTGTGCATAGACTTTTTGTGGTCTGCCTGTCCTCCAGGCTGGAATTTCCAGCAAGGAGCTGCATCCCCCTAAGCGTGGTTTGGGGTTTGCTGCTTGTTTCCCATCAGTTTTTCCAAGGCACTGTGATTTTGGGAAGGAGCCGGGGTTGGGAGAGAGACTGGGAGAGTGTGTGTGCCCTGAGGATGTTCTCAGAGGTGGAGATGATGGCACAAGGTGGGAGATGGCACCCAACTGGAGGAAGCAGGTGGCGGGATATGCTACAAGATGGGAGGTAGCAGGTGATGGCATGTAGGACACAATGGGAAACATCTGGAGACGTGAGATGGCACACAACCGGAGGGAACGCATGGTGGGAGATGACAGGCAATGGGAGATGGCAGGAGGTGGCACATGGTGGGAAGCAGCAGGCAGTGCTGGCCGTGCTGGGCAGGTACCAGAACCCCTGGGCACCCATGGGTGGGAGAATGCCACACAGCAGTGAAGGACCCTGGTGGAGCCTCTGAGCTGGGCTCCAGGATGCAACTCCCCTGCCTGGTAGTCACAGCTCTGGGCTCAGCCCTTCATGGAGAGGACCCCATGCCAGGTCTGGGCAACCCCCAGTGCCAGCTCTGCTCACGTGTTGTGGGTGAGGAGAACTTCACAATGAAGGGCTCCCTGATGAAGGTATCGGTCCCGCAGGGCTCGCAGCCATCGTCATAATAGTAGCTTCCCAGCACAGAGACCATGTCTGACCTGAGGGGGGAGAGCAGGGCAGACCCCAGCACTGCTCCTGCCACAACCAGGGCCCCCAGGGGTGCCCACAGCCCTTCGGGAGCTGCTTTGGGGGACAGCAGGTGACATGGGGGATGCCAGACCCTTGCAGCATCCCTTACCTGTAGATGAAGAGGTACTGCTCCTTGTAGCTGGTCCGACCCAGGGGCACGCTGGCCAAAAAGCTGTATGGGTGTGGGGACGTGCTGGGAGCAAGATGCAGAGAGGGTGAGAGGAGGCTCCCAGTGCTCCCCAGCACCCATTGGGCTCTCTCTGGGTGAGCCAGAGGTGTCCCAGCACAGCAAGATGCCAGCTGGGTTCTGTCCTGGCACCCCATTTGCAGGCACCCCCGGTCTGTGCCATTGGGGTCACCTGTTGAGCTGGTCCATGAGCTTCTTCACGGCGCTCAGGTCAGAGTCCCGGACCTCCTGCACCATGGTGATGTCGTACCCTGACAGGATCTGGGGGGACAAGCTCAGAGCTGCTCACATCTGGCTGGGAGCTGCTTGGGGGGGGCACCTATGGGTGTCTGGGCTGGGCTGCGAAGGCTCCCAGGCTGGCAATGGAGGGGCAGCAGGGACCCAAGAGCCCAGGGAGGGAGCTCCTCTGCTGATGCCAGTGTCCTCTGTTTTGAAAAGACCCTGGGGTGACACAGTGCCCTCTAACACTGTCTGTCTACCACCCACCATCCCAGCAGCTCCTCGCTCACAGGCTGCTCTGAGTGAGGAACATGGGCAGCACCGGACATCGCCCATCCTTGGCTGGGGACCAGCAAAAGTGGAGATGGCCCAAGGTTGAGGATGGTGATAGGGGAAGAACAGATCGATGGATGGATGGATGGAGGCATAGGTGGATGGATGGGGGTGTGTGGGCAGGTGGATTGACAGGTGAGTGGATGCACAGATGGACACATGGATGGACAGATGCCTGCAGAAAGATAGTGTCCGACTGACCCAAGCTGGCTGCATCCCAGAAACCAGGGAGTGGCCAGGACTGCTCCTCTCCTCTAGCACTCACAGAGACAATGATGTCTGCGATGGTCTGGTTGGACATCTTGCTGTCCCCAAATGTCTTGATGTTGAAGGCACTGATCTTCAGCGTGGTGGCCACATGCAGCAGGAGAGCTGCAGCCAGCAGCAGCAGCACCAGCTTTGAGGCCACCATCCTGCATGCAGAGGGGCAGGGATAGGGTGAGCCCCCCTGGCTGAAAGGGGAATTTGGCACAGGTGACAAGGGTGACCAGGGTATTCCCACTGGTGGTACTGGTTTCACTGGGATGTGTCTCTCTTCCAGTGAACCACCGGGACCCAGGGATGGGGCACTCTCATCCAGCCACCCAGCCCCTGCCTCATGCAGGGCCTCATCCTGCCTGTCCCTCCTGGAGGGAGGCCAGATCACCCACGAGGCTGGAGCAGATAATTCACTGGCAAAGGCGCAAATGCCATTTCACGGTGACACAGACCAGGCTTCCTCATTCACCACACTCAGCCCAGACACCTCTCCTGGCCCAGGACAGGTGGCAGCAGCTGGGGACACCAGGGTCCCTGGGCTTTCACCTCTCCCACCCGTCCCTGGGTCTGTGCCAGAAACCCAAAAGACCCTACAGAAGCCATGCTGGGACAGAGCAAGGGATGGTACCCCCCACACACACCCCTCCCCACCTCCTTCCCTGCCTGGACCATCCTACCTGGGGCATCCGGCACCCCCTGCCCCCCAGCACTGCCCATGCCCCATCCTCACCCATCCTGGAGTCCCCTGGGACCCCCTGCCGAGGCAGCGCAGTGGCTCCCACCCACAGGGAAAGGCTTTTGGGAAGTATTTCCCGTGGTGCTCCGATCCCTGGGGTGATATTTCACCAGTGGATGGGATCTGAGCCCTGCCCAAGCCCAGGCGCCCCAAGTGCCCAGCCCCCCTGGGAGCCCCGATAACATGGGCTGAAAGGACTGGCAAACACCCCGGCTTTTGGTGCACCTGAAGCCCGACCTGATGAAGGGCTTGCTGCCCCCGGGCTCGCTTTTTCTTCTGGGGCAGCTGCTCTATTTAAATCCTCACCTTTCTCCACTTGCATTCTCACTACGGCTGCAAACGCAACCATCTGTAATGTTGCAGTCCCCCCCCCAGTTGGTAACACGGTGATTTGGTAACACCACAATTTAGTAATGCGACAATTTGGTCACGCCAAAAGTTGCCCAAGGCCCTGCAAATCCCCCTCACTCCTGGGGGGCACAGCAGCCTCCACAGCCTCCCAAGCAGAGGCACTTATAGAGGACTGTATCCATCCCAGGTGATGCTTGTGAGCTGCGCCCAGGCTCAGGCCCGACAGAGAGTCTCAGCAAAATTAAGCCGAGCTGGAGAAGGCAATTTTGGAGAGGGGAGCTCCTGGGATGCAGGAGGAGAGGGGAGGGGGACGTACCTTTGTTGTTGTCCAAGGTCTCTAGAAGGGGAAGGAGCCGCACCTGCATTTATGGGGAGGGATGGGCTCACCTTGCCAAGTGGTCACCAGCCAAGGCATGTGCGAGGCCGCAGGCTCCATATGGTATTTCTCACAGAAATAAAGGTCTTCTCAGTGCAAAAACAACCCTTTCAACCACTGCCAATACCTCATGCCACAGGTGAGGCCAAGAATGTGCCCGAATCAATAAAAACTCTGACAAGAGATCTGTGAGGTGCAAGAAAATCCCAGAGACCCCTCGTGGGGAACAGATCCCCAATACGGGGTGTGAGCTCTCACTCGTCACCAGGTACAATTCCTCTTAAAGTGTTTATTTCACCAGAACCAACCGTTCCCATCCAGCACCCAACACTTCCAACAAGCTGGTGTCAGGTGAGCTTGCTGGAGCCGGAGGGAGCCCGGTGGGGGGGGCTGAGTGCAGCCAGTGCATCCTGGCGTGGCCCCAACAGCTCTGGTCTTCGGATGTGGAGCTGAGCTGGGAGTGCCGAAAACAGTGGGTCCCTGCCGTGATGCCTGTCCCCAAACCTTCCCCAGGAGGTCACCTGGGGCAGGCCCCTGCCCTGGGGAGCCTGTGCAGTGCCAGGGGATCGTGGCCTTGGCTGATGTCCTGGTACTCCCAGGCCTCCAAATGCAGCTGCTGTGTTTCCCAGGAGGGCCATGCCAGGCTCCTGCAGTGCACGGTGCTCCTTCGGGGCTGGGGGAGGGGGCCTCCCAGCGCCCCCGGGGCCAAGCACCCCCCCAGGGCAGGGCCAGGCCCTGCACCTCGCTCCCCACAGTGGGATCAGGGCTGGGCCTAGCCACCCCAAAGTGGGGCTGAGGCTCCCCAGGCCAGCTCCTGCAGGCCAAGACCCCCGACCCCACCCGCCTGGGCCACGATCCCCTCAGGGCTGGACTCCTCCCAACCTGGCCAAGACCCCCCCAAAGACTCCCCCAGGGCCAGGCTTTCCCCAGCCCAAGACCCTCTCCCAGGCCCAGGCTTTCCCCAGGCCAAGACCCCCCGGCTCAGCCCCAGGACCAGCCCCCCAGGGCCAAGGTTCCCTCAGTGCCGGTTCCCTCCCTGGCCAAGACCCCCCAGGTCAGCCCCAGGG